GAAAAAAAAAAAAAAAAAAAAAAGGCTAGGGTGCGCGTTCCCCTTAGATGATCAGGATTAGGGATTGTGATTCTAAGATCACTTAGCCTCCCTTGAAGGCGTCGGGATCTGCCACGCAGGCTAAAGATCACTTGGATCCTTTAGACCCCAAAGTTTGATTAATGTTGAGCTTTTGCTAAATATTCTGTTTTTGCTTGTTTGCCTTAATAAAAGGCGTGCAAACGATGGAATGCCTTTTTCGATTCTTTTCAAAAACGCTTATAACTGTAATAACAACAACTTAACCGAAGATAATTAACAATTATCCCTCGAGCCCGAATGGGCTCTGAGTCACTAGCCCGTCGAGGGCCGAATGGGCTATTGACTCAGAGGCCATGAGGGCGAGGGGAATAATTGTTTCAGTAAAATCCAACTAGTTGGTCAAAAATATCGAGACAAAACAACTTTTGCTAGCAAAATGCGATTCAGATGCCATTGTTTTGGTTTTCAAAGCCGGAGACCACTAGTTGGATTTTACTAGTATTGGTTATTGTTAACTGGCATGAAAGGAGTAACTTCCCAAAGACCTTCTTCAACTCACACTTAAGAAGCGAGACCTCTGTTGGATAAAGGCAGACTTTTTACAGCTTTTTTTTTTGTTTGAAGCTGGCATTCGTTTAGTCTGCTACACAGCCGTTGCGTGACAACACTAAAAACGGCTGTGTAGCAGACTAGCATTCGTTTGGCATCAATAAATTGGTCTGCGTTACGTAATGTTAAGGGTTACGTCATGCTATTTGCTATCGTTTTAAAAAGTTGAAACTTTCCCTTGCATCAATCATCAACTGAATTCCAAAACTGATTGTCCAGTTTTGTTTTTTCACACTAAATTTAGGAATTGAAACTGTTTCCTGTCTTCTGATGCAACGGATAGCAATGATAGAAATGGATTGAAACTTGAAAAAGTTGGGCAAACCTTTTTCAAGTTTCAATGCAATGACTGCAAAAATCATTATTATAGTTATTGCTCCTTAATGCAATTTGTTTAACAACTTCTCCACATCTCTAAGAGAGCCTTTTGTGCATGGGCAAAGGCAAGAGTAATGACTCCAGCACAGAACTGACCTAAAACAGCATTGAATATCCTTGTGACATAGACTTCTTTCATAATGGCGGACTATTGATATACCCTTTTACGTGTATGATAATTAGCCTTTCTGACCTCGTTTGAAAGTAAGA